TTGAATGCCAAAGTGTCACAGTCGATATGTGTCCCATGTAATGTGAGATTATATTGTTTGTTAAAACCACGGTTACTCGTAACCGCTGAATGCTCCAAGAGTCTAATTTTAAGACGATCGTACTAATAAGTTGGAAGTTGTAACAAAAAGAATAGACCAATAATACAAAGTTAGTAAATAAACACGGCTTAAATTGTAAATAATCTCGATAATCTACGTTTTAAAGGCTGTTTACGAGATGGCTGGTTTATTTATTCACCTCCCTATGTATGAGAGATGGATACCGTTAATGGGAAGTCAATATTTTGAATTGAAAAATAATACGTAAATCTACCACAATAATTGTTTTATTACTGTCAAATGGCAACTGAAAACGACTTGACCAATCACAGCGCTATCATGGATGCATAGTAGAAAAACGACCAATGATTAAAGGAAACCGACAGTGACACGTGGTTAATGGGCGTAACCAAATGTATTCAATGAATAGTTTTTAATAAATTTTCATACAAGCTGTTCATACCTTCGTGAAACGAAATGTATATTAATCACTACTGTCCAATATATATTGTTTAATAGTTTATTGTATTGTATTACTACTATAGTATGAGGGGGGAATTCTTCTCCTCTGAGGTTCTCCACACGTGCCAGGGGGAAATCTCGTCTCGTCTCTCTATCGCGTCCCCTTGAGGTATGGGACCGGGAACGTCACTTAAACTTTACAGTCAAATAAGACACACACAACAAAATATGTTTCAACTCTCGTCTTAGCCGGCCAGTCGAGCACTCTATAAGACACAGCGCCCTGGGGGAAAAGTCCCCAAGACTGTGTCAAGACTCGCCCCAAGACTCTCCAGGACTGCGTTTGTTCTCGTGTGCTCGCCAAGACCAACTAAAACAACTTTATTCACTTTCAAAACCTTAACCAATTACAAAGCAGTAAAAAGACTCTAGGGCGTAACCTTCAATCATACAGCCAATCACACTAAGTACTGAATACGTCATATCTTTTGATTAATCGTTCACTACATTAATAATTGCGAATACTAACTGTCAGAAATAGTAGTCCGAATAGCGACGGTTATCTCGTAATTAGTTCCAAATCACTGAGTCGAGTTCCGTCCATTCGCTAGTAATCAGCTAATTAAGTCAGTCAACAGATACGCAAAAAACAAATTCATCACAGCATCTTCGGGACAATTGTGTGCACATGTGCACCAACACAACTGCGGAGTTGACTTTCGACATTTGTTAGTGTAAACCTACATAGTATATCACGTGACCATTTGTAGGGCAATGAATGCTAAGTTTGTGACGTCATAGAGGTAACGCTCGTATTTCTCTTTTTAGCTACGATGTTTTACCAGTATATTATACTCCTGGTCCTGCTTACCGACTTTACCGTGGGGACTGCCAGTCGTGGTTGGCAAGAAAATGAACGTGGTGTAGTGAAGACCGATAACGTACATGAGGTAAGCCGATGCCATTAAGCGATTAGGTGACAAGGGTTTGAAAAACTGAACATCACTTTGGAGGAACATAATGCACAACCTTGTTTCTTATCGTGCTTACAAACATCTTGAAAATACATAATATAATTAGGAAATTCAACTGGGATAACAGGTCGTTGTACTAGGCAACACTGCTTATATAGGTATCACTTTACATTTAAATTAACACAAAAATTCTCTCTCAGATATACCTTTCCTATAAGGGGCGTCCTCTAGCGACGACACGCTTTTATGACGTCGAAAGACGTAGATGAGTGTAAGCGCGAACTCCGCACAGTTCGATGCACGTTACTTATCATATACTTACTATTTCGTAAAGCGCAAAGGCCTATGGGAAGGAGATTGATGTAAACGATGTGTGTTTGGTCGTTCGTCATTCGTCGTTCGTTCGCAGAGTACACTGTGAACGGTCTTCGTTTTTACAGATGCGCTTTGTCGCTAGAGGGCGCTGCATGTGGTTTTACGCCACTTTACCCATGATGCCATAGAGTGTAAGGGTAGATCTGTTTTAATGAAATTTCCTATTTTATTTATTTTTTTATTTCACAGGCGAATAAACGTGTGATGCCGTTTCGGTTCGGACTCGGAACAAACTGCAACAGGCTTTGTCCAAGGAACCGTAAATCGTCGGACTGCTATCGTCTGTGTATTGTACTGAGTCAGTTGCCAACCAGAGCGAAACGATGATGTTGACGGCATTGCCGATTGAACACATGAGCACTTAAACGAAACGTGTACTGCCACTTGTGAATGATCGTTCATTTGTAACTTTCTGATATCGTGCTGTATAAGGCGAAAATTACAAATAAACATTTTATCCCGCAATTTTAGTATCACCAGATCCACCTTCTTCAATTTCCATAGTAACGCCCTCTAGCAACAAAATGTTTGTGTGACGTAAATGTGTGGAATGGGGAAGTTGACGAGGTTGATATCAGAAAGTTGTCTTCGACAATGAGATTGCTTACAGCCATCTACGTCATTTTACGTCACAAATGTTCTCCGTCGGCAGAGGACGCTACTTACTGGAAATGTGTTTGAGATATGTTTTTCATTTTTTTTAAATATGAGTATATGGCATATCAAATAATAAAGATATAATCCCACAGTTTCTTTTTCTATATTGCTTTGTGATTTTCATCATACCATTTGTGGGCGATTACAGTAATAAATTTTACAATTGCAGTCACGCGAGGGCGCCCAATGTTTCAAGTTTCAACCTGTCAGCAAACGCTGTTTTAGCAATATTACAAGAAACAAAAAAAAAGACGTAAAATTACAAGCATAATATCAAAATTACGTTGACATGTATACACAAATAAACAAATGACAAGACTTGTTGAACCTCAAAAGGATTTCATGTTTCAAGTTGTGTAAAACTAAAGATCTCATCCTGACGGAGACTGCGGTGATATTTTTCGGGGGGGGGGGGAATGGGTTCCCTCGGGCGTTCCCAAGGTGCAATATATGCCCATTTACTCTGAGAATGTCTCATAGAACGCCTTTTTTTGTACAAAACTTGTTAGACATGTAATAGTCAGTACTTTATTTATTTTAACTTGCATTTAATTTCATTATTTTGATATTGTGAGCATTTCACTGAATTTAGCACAGGGAACCCAGGAACTATAATCAACTGTAATACGCAGTCTGTATGAGCGGGGTGGGGGTGGGGTGGGGGCAAGTTGAGCAAGGCTAACCGAGTCGTGACCTCGATGTGGTTCGTAACCAGTCTTGTGATTGGTTGTTGACAAATGCTGAACAGGCCACGCCTCCAACTGTGCCGTGCGTTCGGGCAAACTGTTAGGAATTCCTAAATGAAGTACATTTCTGTAGTTTTCTTGATTTATTCTGCAGAAATCGGTAATGGCGAAATTTGAAGGAGCAACTAATATTCTTCAACCTGGTATTTTTTTTAGATTTTATTTTTTATTTTTTTCGTCTGTTTTTTCGAGTTTAAAAAATGTGAGCTGGCTGGAGCCTTCATCCCTTGTCTATTTCTTACACTAGATACCAGCCGATACCCCCCCCCCCCCCGCGCTCATAGGGAGTGCGTACAGTTGATCATAGTTCCTGGGCTCCCTGTGAATTTAGCAGAGAAACAACGAGTTTCTTTTGCGCAATATTGAAAGCTATTGATGTGTTGTTAAAAAAAACTCTTTATTCAAAATTTTAGGCTGTGTGTGCGATTTATATTTGTTTTTAGTTGACACTTCTTTGAGGGTGATGAAGCTATATTAAACACCAAATGAAAATTCCAAGCATTACAACTATTCAAAAGTTTTGGTATAGTATTGCTATCTTTCCTAGCACCACCATGTAAGTGTCATCAAATATATACCATACATACATACAGTTGTTGGTCACCCGAAACAGATTCCAAATAGTGAATTCTTAGCACTGTAATTATTGAATTTGATTCATGACTTAGTCTCAACCAATTTGATTTCCCAATAGATGATATTTCCCTTCACTACGAGATCTTACGCACTGCGTGAAAGGCGCAGACCATGGATGTAAATCTTTAGACTTGGCGCAAATTTGTCAACATCAACAACACTGAGAAATTGACCTACATGCCCTTTAAAAGGGCATTACCCTTCCCAAATGGACGAACACTTGGTACCAACTATACAACAACACTGTCCTGCATGCATTGCAGAATACACAACAACTAGACTGGCAAAGTTGTGACTTCTTTTTTGTTTTACAAAAAGAAATAATTAAGTGTTCTTTTAGTCCTTTTAGCATGATCGCAAAAACTAACCTGACCGCTCACGCTAGTTAAAAAGGCTAAATTGACAATTAATTATATATTTTTGTAAAACAAGAAAGAAGTCCCGACTTTGCCAGTCATAAGAACAACGTGAAGCATGCATATGCAATAAGCTAGCTAATGGTTATGGCCACAGTCAGCT